CTTTAATCCAATTATACTCCGAAGACTTTCTAATTATACCCCGAAGACCGGTAAGGATGGAGAAAATACCTTATACATCTATGACTCAACTTATCAAATGGTTTATCAGTATAGAAAAATTTTCCAGTACAGAAAAAGTATCTGGATCAATGAGCTCAGAAAAATTTGATACGCATTTGAAATATTTGAAATGAAAGTTTATATTACCTCATTTGGTTAATAAAAGAATAACTTATAAATGAAAGATAATAACACATAATTTTAGAAAACATAAAGGGAACTTAATGTCCTACTTTGCGATTTAAATGTTGCTGCAATGCTTTTATAAAATCCCATTTATGTAGCAATGCCACTTATTAATCTCATCGCTTGCAAGTCACAGTTGCAAATTAAAAATGTGTGGCGTTGTGACGTGACTTCATTGTCACAGAAACATACTATATTGTGTAGGTAACCATAAGGGACAAAAAAAAAAAAAAAGATCGTTTACAGAAGTATAAAATGTAAAACACAGAAACAAAGCTGGCTGATAGGATAGCACATAAAGTATAGGATTTCATTAAAAAAATGGTAACATTGCATATTTGGATGGATAAGAAAGAATTAGTTTTCATGAACTAATATGTTATCGACTAATTTTTGAAACTCAAACCATTACTAAACAACTATATTTTAAACAATTAATAAAACTAAACCTGTGTTAATAAAATATTTAATAGTCTAATATTTTTCATGAAATGAGAAAATTTAAGTGGAAATAAATGGCCTGTTCATATACGAACATTTATCTGCTCTGGCTCCATCAAACTACATTCTTTTTCTACAACCTTCAAAACAAATTAATAGAAGATTTCTAACTCTAATAGAAGATTGAGATATGATATCGAAAAATGAAATATTCATTCTTTGCACTTAATACAAAAGTTTTGCGACCGGAGCAACAAAATTCTTCAAAACTGAAATGGGAACAAATTATAAACAGTTCTGGTAAATGCATTTTATATTGCAATTGAATATGTTTAAAATTTACTTTAAAGCATTTGATTATTTATGGAAGGACATTATAAGATCTAGCATGCCTTCGTGGTGTATCGGTAGCACACTCGAGGAATATTTGAAAGGTCCAGGTTAGAGTCCAGGCGAGGGCATTGCTCTTTTCCATGCCTCCTTAAAAATAATCCAATAACTCTACAATGGCTCCCGAACTAAAAGGTGGTGGGCAATAATTCGTCACCACCAGGATTTGGCGATTGGGTTTACCTAGTTCCCAGTGGCCCTGGTATTTTCTCCCTCATTCCAGCATTCCTTTGTGGTTTAACGATAACACACTTGGCGCATATTCGAGAGATCTGAGTTCGAGTCCGGGCGAGGGCATTGCTTATTTTACATGTCTCCTGTTTCAAAATAACCTAATAATTCTACAACTTAATAAAATAATAAAAATCTTTCAGTTGTTCTTAACAACACTACGAGTAATTATTGCTTTATTCTGCATTTTTCGAAGTCTTTATATGTCTTAAAGTATCTCGGTAATCTCATAGTAAAATAAGCCATGTGCTTGCACTGCGTACAAGTTCTGCTCAGTCAGTAACTCGAGCAGCAATTTGTGAATTTATTTCCAAAAAGTGCATGATTTCGCTTTAGTAATAAAACGAAAGTGTCTCCTATGTTTATTTCTTCTAAGCATTGTTCTACAGAATTTTAACATTCTTATCACATTTAAACTCTGTGAGCAGTGGTTATGTTAATTCACAATTAGGCCATCATTTTATATTATTTCAGTCGTATGATTATCAGCATGCTACAAATTCCGTGATTTGGCTGATTCGTAACATACTCATAGGAAGGGAGTTTTTGTTCTACAAAGACAAAACTGTACAAAGACAAAAACAAAAATCCGTTAAGACGAAAGTATAGTTACGAAGTATAGTAACTATACTTTATACGAAGTATAAAGTAGTATACGAAAGTGTTTATAAGACCTGAACGTGTCCCTTCTCATTTCAGGGAGACGTATCTGAAAGAAAATCAATCATATCAGGATAAAATCCGAAATTCAAGTAGATAACACTGGAATACAGAATTTATTCATGAAATAAATTTCACGTAGCTAAGTGCACTGGTGTTCGAAATTGATATATCATGCATTTAATACAGTTAAGGCGTTTGAGTACACTATCCTCTATTTATCACAGTTTTACTAAAGAATCATAAGTTAGAATAACTATGAAATCTTAACAAGTTAGAAAGTTTTCTTAACTCATATAGAACACAAATAGAATACAAATCAAAGTTAAAAGTCTTTATGAATATTTAAATCGAAGTCTTGAAACAAAAAAGAACTTAGAAGAGATTCATTTATTCATTTAAATATCATCAGGCTTACCTATTAAGGAAAATTATCAGGAGTATATTCCATAAAATAAAGTAAAATGCTGAAAAGAATGGAAGGACAAGTACGACGTTTTCACAGACTCTTTTTAAGACTTCTGCATCGGCCCATAAGCAGAATCCATTCTCTCCAATATGTATCGTTTGGCGTTGTTTGTTTTTGATGTTGCCGAGTTTCATTATGCAAAAGTGACACTAATTTATTCTAACGAAAATTAATAGAATAAGCACTTTTTCAAATTTTTCTAAAATACTGAACAAAAATTGAAAGTATATGGTCAGGTAATAATAGGAATATAATAGCGTTGTGTTGATCGCTTAACATACTGACATATCTAGTGATTTCTGAAGAGAATTCACAGCGTTAGATCACAAAACGTTCAATCGAACAACTGGTTCCTGCTACATGACGATATACCGCTGCACAATTTCATTCTTGTCAGGCATTATTTAGAAAAGAAAAATATGAGGATTCTCAGCGCCCTTTTCATTTTGGCATTTGAAACGTACACTGCGAGAGAAAAAAAAAGGGAGGGACAGTTCAATATCTCCCGTTCTACTGGGCCAATTGTTGAAGAAATTCAAATTGCGTTTTTCATGTCTCGAAAACGAGACTTAGGGTATATATTAGATTTACATGCAGCACTATTCTACATAGGCATTTTGGCACAATCAGACTTTTTTTAAATAGCATACCAGGTTCATATTTCAATTCTACCACTCACATTACGCTAAACTGCTAAATTTTGTAAAAATCTCACGAGTAGTTTTTAAAAAATTAGCTCTCAAAATTTTAGCTCCTCATTGTTAATTGAGGTGGTCTATATTTATTAATATCTCTTTTTTATTAAACTTATTTGATTTTTCCTTTCACATTTCGGTCTGAGGTTCGAATCCCGCGAACGGGCTGGCTGAATGGGCATTTTCGTGGTTTTCCCCATGTGTAACGTGTTTAAGAGCCAGTTTCCCTTAGAAAGTCCTCCATGAAGGCATCCCTCCCCTTAGGCAGATAGCCCTTGTGTGCTTTGCCATAATTAAATAATCCATAATCCATCCTTTCACATTTCGAAATTTAGATTCATTCCAAATAAAATTCGCCCATTTTTATGATTTATTTTTAAAATTTGTATTTTTAAATAATTTTTATAATTTTTTTCGAAAACAAATTTGTATTATAATCTATAAAAACCATCATTTTAAAGTAGATGTATTTCTAAGCATACCTGCAAAAAATTAAAATTTTTTATTCCAAATTTCCGAAGATATACGTAAATTTAATATACTGGCGCGTTTTGAAATTTGGCATATTTGTTGAAAGTGATAATATCATCAGATGTGGTTTAGGCACTTTGTTAAAATTATTTGAAAGGAGAACGACGTGACCTTTTTTTTCCGCTCTTGCACTATGTTAAAAAAAAAAAAAAAAAGGTAGGAACGATGTGACATTTTTTCCGGTCGTTCCCAATGGAAGAGAAAGGAAAATTGGTTGCCATATATTAAGAAGTTCACCATGTGAATTATTCTTGGCGCAAATTGAAAAAAAGATGCCAAGATAAATTTGTGAGTTTCCCTGTAAATTTCGCACCAAATTTTACAAAATTTAATATTTAGGTATAATTTGAATCGTAGAATCGAAATATGAAAAAAAGTGGTATGTTATTTCAGAAAAAAATCCCATTTTGTGTCAAAATACCTATGTTAAAACAATGCTATATATAAATATAATATATGTCCGAAGTCGCTCTTTCGAGACATGAAAAACGCAATTTGAATTTCATCAATAGGCCCAGTAAAACGAGAGAGATAGAACTGTCCCCTTTTTTTACGTAGTGCACATCCTCTTTCCTAAAGTGAAGTCTCTGCTCAAAGGTAATTATTTTAATAGCACTGAGAAGAGCTTCAGAAAAAGACAATTAAAGACTTAAACGGTATTAAAAAATATGAGTTCTACGTAGGAATTAAACTGCTGTCTGAACGTGCTAAAGCTTATACATTGAAATACGTACATACTGACATATCCTATACACTGAAAGCCGAAAATAAGAATATTATATTTTTCAGCTTTTCATTTTGTGAAATTAGTTGCAAGACTTTGTTGGTGCATTGTGTACATTAATTTCTGTTATGCACATAATGATTTTTCTAAAATGCACTTTTTTCCAAATGAATATGAAATGAAACATACTCTTCAAAACAGCATTGTATAAAATGAATAATTCAATACAATTTATTTTTATTTGCAAGATATTGTAGCATAAAACTTAAGAAAATTATTCCTTAAAACATAAATTCATTCAAGAAGAGTTTCTAGGAAAAAATATTGATACACTAAAGCCTGAAGCGTATTTTAGTATTCATTTTCAGATAAAGACTTCCTTAAAAAGGTATTTACCAGTTTAATGCAGAAAACATCCATTAAATATACGTACAACGACTGAGATTGCTTTGAATTTGATATAGATATTCTACATTTTCAAGGACATTCTTTTAAAAAAAAAAAAAACATGATAGCAGCAACTTATCGTTGTTTGTTGATCTGAAGAACTGAAGAAGATTAAAACACCTGTTTTTTTCTCAAACTGTGATTTAAAGTTTATATATGCATGTATAAATAAAGGAATTAAACCAGAAATCCGTACTTCACATTTAAAAGATGGAAGTTTCAAGTCTGGTTTTATGGGCACTCTGCGTCGGCATTTGCCATGCATATGCCATGCATGATGGTAAGTTTGTAATTATTATTTTAAATATAGGACACATTTAGAAAGGGGTACACGTATCGTTAGAAGGAGGTACTGTAAGAAGAGGTATACCTATAATAGCTGTTTTCTACATTTAACCTCTTTTTTCTTAGTTTCCATCAACAACATTTTCAGCAGTTTAAGAAATTGTGTAGCATATCTAGGTAATCAGCAGCTGCTTGTTGCTCTAATTCTTTGTCTTAGAAAGCTTTATTCAACCAGGATTTGAAACTTGGATTTTTACTTCCTTGTACGACGTAAAGGAAGGACTGCAGTGGCGAAAAATTTCGGATAACATATTTTGACGGAAATATCCATTTTGACTGTTCCTGGATCCGTTTAGACGAATTTTTTGTTTCACGTCTGTACGTATCCACAGAATAAAGTCCTCTTTTTTCCAAAATGGCTTTTAAAAATGGATTCAAAAAGAATTTTGTTTCCTTGTTAGCTCTAGAACGTTGAAATTTCGTAAATGGGACTGCTATAATATCTAGTTGTGCACCTCCCGTTTTTAAAGTACCATATACATACTCCCTCTACTATGCCACTTAAGGGAACGGTGGACTTTAAAATAGCTAAAAACCAACCAAAACATTGAATTTGTTTTTTTTTTACTCTTGTAATATTCCACATACATAACTACATCATATGCAAAAAACCGAGTTCCAGTATTCTAATTATTAAAGAAGTTACAAGCATTTAAAATGTGTAAACAGCATAAACTTTGCCCTTTAAATTTTGGAGAAAATGTAAAAAATTGTATTTCAGCAGTTATTTACTGATGTTATAATTTATATATTTGACCAAAAGAAGTGTTTATTTCTTTGAAGAAGGCTAGAAATGACAGAATTGACAACTATTAATGAATTTAACTTATGTAAATGCTTTAGAAGGCATAGAACAGGAAGAAGCCAACTCGTTTTCCCTACTCGTGATCAACGTTGATCTACAAAAAACGCGTGATCAACGTTGCTTAAACCAAAGCAAAAAGAGAAGTTTACCTGCTTGAAAAAAAAAAAAAAAAAAAAAAAAAAGAAATAAAAAAAATAATGTAAATGTAACAAATAAAGGTAAAACATATGATGAGTGTGAATTTTAAAAGTTTCATTGGATATAATGCATAAATTGTTTCTGCCTCTAACTTCGAATCACATACCAATTTGAGAATGATACGAAAATGTTATCCATTGTCTATGTATTCATATTTAAAGTTAATTTTCTATTTCTCATGACCATGTATTAAATGTAAGTTTGAAGAAAATCTTTAAATTCGTTTTTCTCAAAACAATTTTTTTCGCAGTTCGTATGTCTTGAAAATGCTCCATGCGTCTCATATTTAGTTAAAAATATTTGGAAGAAACTATCTTTTTATGTGTTACAGTAGATCGGTGTATGGACTTTTGAATATGATGTTATTAAGAAGTTTAAACTTGCGATAATGTTTAACAAAAGGTGACATTTTTACGAAAACTGGGCTTAAGTTCAGAAAAATCGTTTTTAAAAATTTCTGATCTATTATATTCAATAACGGATACACAAAAACTTTTGTCAAGTCTTTATAACTAACTTAGAGGAAAAATTAGGAACAAATATTGAAAATTGAAAATTAGCGCGCAAGGAGCATTTTAAATCTTTAATTAAAATAATTAATTATTTGTTTTAAAATTTTTTTTTAATTTAAAATAAATTTAAATTTTGAACATATATTTTATAAATTGATGTTATAATATGTATATGTATAAAATTTCTTGTTGAAAACACAAAAACTTAAAAAACTAATTTTTAAAGTCTACCGTTCCCTTAAAAGTTCTTTATTTTCATATAATCGTTGGTTTTATACTTCCAATTACAGAAGTGTTTTTAAATGACGAAAATATTCATATTTTGGTAATGCTAAATTAAAAAAAAATTGACAAATGACGTAACCTAATTTTTAAGATTACCTCCCGGTTTCAGTAGTAATATTTGGAAGTGTTTTATACTTGTTAATGATAAAATAAAATTATGAGAAGTTTGACTCCCGCACGATAAAAATTGACCATGATATTTAGATTCAAAATTTCCAATATTTGATATCATTTTCAAGTTGCTTTGAGGGATGCATTAATTAAGTTAGAATAATTCGAGAGACTAGCTATGTTTAAATCAATTTCAGCAAAAAAATGTATAAAATTTTATAGGCCGTGCAAAGACGTCATTTGGCATTTTTACATCAGAGTTTTTTTTTTATCTGCAGACAAGTGTTCTAAAATTTCGTTCCCGAAAATATGTGCAAACCAAGTATACAATGCCCTTCTGCGTAGTATATCAAGTGGATTGGCATTCGACCTTTTGAAATGGAGTGTAACATGCCTCGCTGCAGGTTCAGTGTTATATGAGTGTTTCCTTCTAACCTTCAAAGGTTTCTTTCCTTCGGTCGTAAACAATGAAGCGTTTCCATGTTTTAATGAAGCTTTGGAAATCTGATTTCAACAGACGAAAGAAATTTTAACTGTGTACGCTTTAAATACTAGACTAAACTTTCTCAATATATATTGGTGTGGAAAACTTCTAACATTTCCAACCTGAACTCATTCTGTAATAAATTGTACGTTTTACACATTAAACTTATATTTCTGCAATATATAGTAGCGTAAATATACAACCGATATGCTTTTTGTTTACGCTATTTCATAAATATATTTTTGTCAATTTCAGACGTTTTCTGTTCACTGGTTTCATGGGTCATGAACAAAATTTAAAAGCACTTAATGCCCATAGAATTAAAGACTTAATGGCTTTATAATTTGATAGCAGTATAAGAAGAGTTTATTTTAACTGAGAATATATTCCTGTACTAGCAATCAAATTAAAATTATACGTAAATATATAATTTAAAATTTTTATATCCATATGCTTTAGGAACTTGATACTGTTTTAAACTTTCTCGTGAAGTTGCAGAAAATAAACTACCTTTTTCCTTCAAAATTAAATAACTTTCAGGTTTAAGATGACGTTGATTCTTTTGAAAAATTGCATGCATTCTGAAAGAAACAAGTATAGGGCACGTTACGTTTGTTCATCGAAAAAGAGTTGCTATATGAATTTCCCTCGAAGCTATTAGAATTTTTGAACAAAATAAATCCCGATCTAATGTTAAATTTTACATAAAGTTTAAGATAAAAATGCATCTTTTTCAGACGTTAACTTACACATCTTATTTTACTAGCAAAAATGTATGCATATATTTATCTGGAGCAAGATAATCTTTTCAAATAAATTAAAAAATACACAATTAATTATTTTGTCAGCAAAATCTTTTGATTACTGGATATGAAACAGCTCTTTTAATGTGAGGTTGAATATTTTAATGATTAAATTCCTTTCTTTGACTACGACTGTCTTAATTTTCAAAATAAATTGATTTACTAATTCCTTTTCCCTTCACATAGAATTGACCTGAATTTTTCAAAATCTTCTTGTATTAGTGCAGTAAGTGTCTTTCCAAAAATATAGCTTTTACAAAAATCGAATTCTTCGCTAAAAAAGAAGAGAATAATTTCAGAGACCAAGTGGTTCATATCTTGTGTGTCAATCCGTTAAATGAATTCAGGCTGAAATCAGTACATAAAGTATGCTAATACTATAGCATGAAAACAAAGACTAATAATTTATTTGTTTCGGAAGTTATTGAAAATTAAAAATCGAACGCTGTGTTATCCAAATAAGGATATCCAAACCTTTAATTACTTTAGGCAATAATCAGAAACATCGTGCGCGCGTAAGATATATAATTAATGTGTGTAAGTAAAGAAACTTCGTTTACGTTTTCATTAATTAAAAAATAGCAGCATAAAACTAAGGAGATATTTGGAAAACTAATTTATCGATGCCTATTCTGGCTGAAATTTTTTGCGAGTTTGCCAGATAAGGAAAGTTTTTTTTGTTTGCTTTTATTTTACATTTTGTATATTTCATGCCTAAAACAATTTCTCACAAATGTACGTGTTGCTGAAAGCTACGATGCGAATATGGACACTATAAAGCGAAAAATATCCTTTTATTTTACTTACTTTTTTTTTTTTTTTTTAATAAACTTTGTAACATCCCGGGAAGGAAGCTTTGTTCGGGTTGAATAGCAAATTCTAAATGTAGGCATTTCATTTGAAAAATTTTCTCTATAATTTATTTATGCCGAGTAAAAATTATTCGAAAAGTGTACTAAAATACTGATGATTTTTTCAGAAATTCAAAAAAGAGTTTTCAGGTAGATTTCACCTGTGAAAACATCAGCAACAATGTTACATATTTTTTTGTATCAGATGAATTTGTTCTGTTCACGTATAAGGGTTTTTACTGTCAAAGCACGAAAATCATCTCTGTTGTTAACGATAGTAAGGAAAAATTGGTATATTATTAAAGGTCTTCATTATGGTTAACAGTTATTTGATAGGTCATTTGGTCAGCTCAAATTTCTGAAACAAAACAATGCATTAGTAATTCTAAGACCTGTTATTATTATGAAAATTAATTAATGCGCATCTAATGAATAATTTAATGATTGAGAACTCAAACCTGTATAGTACTGTGGTTGTGCAGGTATTTTTTTGTATCATAATTTTTGCTAGATTTTGAAGGAAAATAATACTAAGTGGTTTTGCATGAAAATAACAAGATTATAAATATATTAAATGAAATTATCAAGAGAGAAAAGTGAAGATTCTTGTCTTAGAGGGTCTAACGGATAAAATAGAGATTCCTGCAAGATTAGCTCTTAAAAGTTACTCGATTTCTCAGTTAATAAACTTCCGAAGATGGTATTTAAAACTTTTATGCAAAATAAATGACTGGCGATAACCATAACCTGAAAGATAGGGCTAAAAAATGAAAATCGAGTTTAAAAACAATGTGTAAATGGATGACGGAGACGTAGATATTAATTCCTTTGGATGATAACTGATAAGAGGCTTTTCAGAAAAACTGGAATTTCCAATGTTATAAATGGTTCTGATCATATGATAGGATACTGAAAATATGATACATTTCCAGCTTCAGGAGGACAGGAACACTTAGAAACAAAAAATAGTTTATTATTATTTTGATTTATTATTGCAGAGATAATTCACTACTTTAAGGTTTCTAATCTATTTTAAGGTGGTACCAATAATGAAATATTAATTTTTAATATTTTCTTCATTCATTTAATTAAATGTTATCACATCGAGTAAAAATGGACTAATTATATTTTGCTTACATTGAAAAAGTTCAGTTTGTTTATAAAATGTATGTTATGCGACTTCTTACTCATGAAAATATCTATAACACCACTGCAGATTTAGATTCCAAAATTCTTTTATTTAATATAAAAAATAGAAAAAAGAGAACAAATAAAGAGAGCCAGAAAAACTTTCTACAGGTCTTCTTCTTCTTTCATTCGCAGCTTCTTCTGCTTAAGAAAGGGAGATCATTCTTTTCAGTCGGGGATGAAACCGATGAAGCAAGGGATTTTTTTCAGAAAATTTCTGAAATTGAGGAGGGACAATTTGTACATGTATATTTCTTAGCCGAGAAAGAAATTCATAAAAAATACCGCAAGGGGATTCTGCAATTCAAGTGAAAAATTAATTCAATAGGTATTTAAACAATGGAAGAGAATAAAAATTGATGACTTCTGTAATCATGAGGTTTGAGGAAGGAAACATAATTCTGAGCAATCTGTCTGCAAAATGAAGTGGTAGTTATAAAAAATATGAATTCAGACAATAATAAAAAGTTTATTTATGCTAAAATCCTTTAAAGTTTCGTTGATAATTAACTGAATGTTTTTATGTGAACCACTCTGGAATGTTTACATTATCAGCCCTCTAAAAATGAGCTTTAATGTATAGCCGTGGCATTGCTTAAACTAAAGAAGCAAGTGATGGAAATTAAAAGCAGAATCTGATTAACGAATATTGATGAATAATTACGTTATAGGATTTCATTAATTTTTACTAATAGTTATTTCAATTTGTAAGACTTTTCTGTTTTCTCTTATTCCCTTTACGTTTCCTTGCCAGGATGTAAATGAGTTAGGGTGAACGAGAGTATTTAAACTTTTGAAGCGAAAGTTCAACAGAGTGTGATTTCGCTATTGTGAGCTAATTCTTCCAGCTGTTAACCTTAAACATCGGATACGCATTCTTGCCGCCGGATTATTATTCTACCAATGTAGGTTCTAAGTCAACCGGTTAGCTTTAAATTGAATTGTGTAGTCTTGTAATAATCGCACCTTTAATTTCGTATCTTTTAAGTTCTCAATGCAAGTGGTCGGTGTTTGTAAGCACGTAAGCCCATGCTGTCTGTAAATTACATTGTGTTCAATAAAAAAATCTTTACACCCTTCTTCTGGTTGTATTCAGCTTCAAACATGTAGGAGAATTCACAGGGATTAAAATTTAGGTAGATCTAGTCGCATTTTATGACAGTTAAAAAGACTAGATCCTACAACACTTAGTATTTAAATACGTATAAATATTTTTCATGACTTAGCTTTCACAAAGGATATATAATTAGAAAATATTTAGCATCTAGTTGTTATCTTTAGGATAGCTCTAATTTACTTGGAATCTCTTTCTGTATTTACTATTAATTTTTAATTTATTGTCTAGTTGCTGTTATGAAGTTGATAACGCATATTACGTTTTTAGAAAATGAAATCAAACAAAATTTCATTGAGATGTTATTTAAATAGCAAAACTACAGCAACAATATTCAGCAAGTTGAAATAGTAAGAATGAACTACACTGAACTAAAATGTGATATCCATTATTCAAGAATGTCTTTCTGTTGCCAGAAAAATAATAATTTATTTTCTTTTCTCTTGCAGACTATTTGGGAGACCTGCCGTTGGAAAACCCGGATCTCATAGAAGGAGATATTCTTCCAGTAGAGGGATCAAATGTAATTTTAAATTAAATTTTAATTTTAGTTTACATACTATGGGCATAAAGATGAGAAATCATTACAGAATGGTTAAGTCAAAAATTACGTTATTCAGATTATTAACAATACATATTACAAAATATTACAAAATAGAACTTTTCTTTGGATTAATTTATTGGCAAAGAGATCAACAAAAACTAAACAAACTTCTGAATGTGTTTAAGAACAGAAAATATTAAAATAGCATTCATACCATAAACTGAAGATTTTATTAGCATTTCTGAAGTATCTTTATATTTATTTGTTCTTTAAAAGGAAGAAATCGAAAAGATTAAATTAAAATCGCTATCAAATTTTATATTAAGCCGATATAATGTTAGGAGCTTCATTTGTACACAAGCCGAAAAATATAAAGCATTAGTTAGATATGAAATAGTTATAAAACTTGAGAATATAAAGAACAGAGAATATATTAAATCACTGTGTTAGAAGTAAATATCAATTCTTGATAAGTTTAATATTAATCAAAATTCAGCCTTAACTTGAACTTGATTTTAAGTAAAAATTAGATGCGTTTCATTTCAAAATTGCACAGACTTTCATTTTAACAGAGAGAAAAAATAGTCTGTACAGAATATATTATTCCAGCTTGAGTATACTGTCATTTGTATGAAACGGATCTCAGTCGCATAGAATTTTAGAAGTTCAAAGGCTGGGCGCCCATTTTTAAATTTGAAATCGCAATTAACTGACGGCTTTACATTCATGTTTCACAGCTAATGGATTATTAACCAGTGGAGATTTAAGTTCAGCTAATGGTTGGGTTGGGTTATTCAATTATGGCAAAGCACACGAGGGCTATCTGCCTAAAGGGAGGGATGCCTTCGTGGAGGACTTTCTAAGGGAAACTGGCTCGTATACACGTTACACATGGGGAAACCACGAAAACACCCATGCAGCCAGCCCGTTCGCGGGATTCGAAACTCGGACCGAACTACCATTTTTTAGCGTCTTTACCCCTCGGCCGCTGGTGGGCATTCAGCTAATGGAGTTGGTGTTCTGATAGAAAGTTAATTCTTTCCAGAATCTGTTTTACTATTATGACTTTACAAAAATTTGCACAGAATATTCAGGAAAAAACGCTAGAAATCAAGTTTTCTTAAAAATGCTGTAATTAACATAACATAATCGAAGTTATATTAAAAATTTAAACTGAAGTTTTTATAAATACTTAATAGTATTTATAAAATTAGTTTTTATAATACTTAATTACAATAAATATAAGCTTCTGTTAACTGATACTTCCCCTTTTATATTTAGGACAGGAATGAAATGTTTAACTACAATAAATGTAAACTTCTGTTAAATGCTAATTTTAATTTATTTTTAGGATAGAAATGCTATTGTTAATACACGACAACTATGGCCAGGAGGAGTAGTGCCGTACGTACACGAACCAGGCGTGATTTCCTACCAAACAGTTCGTAAGTTCTATTCAAACGTAATCCAATTACTATATTACTTTCTTAAGTTACTTACGGTTTGTATTTTGCTCTAATTAAAGATTATCTTTATACAGTATCACAGAAAGCAGCATTTTGTGTCTGATACAAATGTAGCAAGTATCTATCAAACAGAATGCTTTTAATGGGAGAAGAATTTTTCATTCATAACGAAATCGTGATTATCAACCAGTAACACCGTTTTATAATGAAGAATTTTTAAAGGATGTGAGTTATGTGTGAGAACACTAAAGTGTTTTTAATAACTTGATAAGTTAATAATATATCTATTAAATAAACCAGAAACTTGAATTAATTTTTAGTTTTTGTGCTTTATCTTCTGCGCTGACCCTTTAGGCAACGTCTTCTATAAAATAATTTTGGATCGCTTAGTATTATGGCACGAGAAATCTTAAAATCTCAACAACACCTGAAAAGCTGTATCCCATGTTTCGAGCTTCAATTATTATGCCGCATTTAAACTCAGTTTATTCAAATTTAACCAGTCTTTATGAGTCCAACAGGCAGTAATAAAAAAATCTTTTATTTGCATTTTTTTTAATGAGAAGCAAAAAGCTAGTTGTAAATTTGCAAGTTATTTTTCTAGAACTTCTGGCACACCAAGATTTAATAGAAATCTTTGCTAGAAAATGTAAAACAGAATATTGTCTCTTCAGTTGTATTATTATCTTTCTAAATTTGTTACACCTAATCTGCTAGTCTTATATTTGGTACAATGTTCATTGGTGCTTAATTTGTTAATCTGTTAAATTATTTTCAACAAAAGTGTCACGTATAATTGCCAGTTCATAAATTTTCTCCAATATAGCAACTGCATACAACTGATCCACTTCTTGCACAATTTAAACATCTCTCAGACCAAATGTGCTTCGAAAACAGCGATTTAGTGGTGTCAGAACATGAATAAAAAAATCTATAACTGAAAATTCATCTTTCTCTCTTTCGTTTTTTAAAGAAATAATACCTCAACTTTTTAGGTTTGGTAAAACAAAGTTCATAAAATCTTCCATTCATTTGAAACTGCCAGTCTTTGAAGCAATTTTCTTCTGCAACTCTATTTATCTCGTAGGTTTCAAAACAGTATACTAGTTTGGAGTGTAATATACATAAGCACATTAATGTTCACTACGAGCTAAAACCCAAACAGATAAATGATAAAATAATGAAGTTGTGATTATCAATAGAAAAGACAAAAAGTGTTATTAATTTTAGTATATTACTCCATAATCAGGTATGTAAATGAATTTGTTATTACACTAAGCAAGTTTAATAATATGTGCACAGATGTAAAATGCCAGAAAAATTTGACGAGTTTTCATCAAAATGCCTATTGTTCTTTATATGGTTTCAAAAAATTATACCTTTTGTAGATCATTAGTATTCCCGAAAGCACAAAATTGACTTTGTGTTTTAACTTTTCAGTTAATATTAAGCTAAAATTTGGTGAAGAATGCAAAATAGCAAGTTATAGGTACTATAATTAAAATATTTAAACTACTATAACGAAAGGAAATACAGATCGGCAGTAACAATGTTAAGTGTGCTATTACTTGTCTTAAAGTGTCTTTCGCCTTAAAGTTTTGTTAAATTGCAAAACTATTTTCAACCAGTAATGAAAAATTAAATATTCTAAAATATCCAAACAATTAATATCCAGATTCTCTCCGGTAAAACTAATGAAATATTTTCCCTCAAATGAACATCTAAATTGACGTTAACAATTATAAAACTTAAATTCAGCGTTTTAAATAAAAATATTACATTAATCTATTAGTCTATAGAATTAAGAAACAAATGTTATAAACGCTGCAATGGAATCCTTAATAATGTGCCATAAGAAGTGTAATGTTTTCTATATCTTTGCCTGTTAGCCAAGCAAATTCCAGTTGAGAGATTGACATAATAGTTGCAATGAATTGAGAGTTTGCATGTGTTTATTGGTTAGGACATAAACCATCAAGATTCTGAACATAGACTTTAAGCTATGTATTTAATTCTGAACATACCTTTCATTCTACTATTTGAATTTAAGCAAGCTGTTAACGTGAATAACTTTTAGCGAGATGATCAGTATTTATCAGATAGCTAGTAAACTTAACACGTAAAACGAATGTATGCTTTGAAAATCATTTTTCTTTGCAAATTAGTTTAAAGTTTTTGAACTATATATATGTTCATGAATTTTCAGTAAGTAGAACAAATAGCATTGTCGTGATAGTTTTAATAGCATCTGCTTAGCGCTTATCTCAGCTTGTGGATCAGGAATTACAGCATGAAAAATCATATGATGCGATGAGGCTAAATTTGCAAGTATTTGAGAAGTATTTGAAGCTATCGACGATGCTAACTTAAATATACGAATAATTCTAAAACTATTTTGTTTTCGTTTGGAGCTGAAGCATTTGCAAGTTTGTGTGAATGCATTAGCATTTAGCGTGAGTAACACATAAATTCCCTCAGACGGTAACTTTTTGTTACGAGCTCCCAAGTACGATAGCTAGGACCTTCATCTGTATGCTACTTCACGGCCAGAGACAAGGTTTATATTGACCTAGGTTGCATTGGAGTGCGCTGTACCAACAGTCAACCAACTGCCGAGAGAAATTATATACGCTTGTGATGAAACCAAGACACCTACCTCTTACAAATTATGTTCTTGAAAATTTCATAATTTACTAGAAAGGCAATGATCAGAAAGATAACTAGATTATCACAGCAAAATACGCACGATCAGAGGTTGTCAGGCCGGAAGAGATCAGAAAATCTAAAACAGGCGGTGACCGAAATTCTTAGAACACATCTCCCCAAAGTAATTTATAAAACATCAAAAAGAGCTCAGTAATTGTTATGTTAACAAAGCAAAAACCAAGGGAATTAGGCTATTTTTATACAGAGGTGAACGAATGTTTCGTCCGGAGATAAGATTAAATGCGCTGCTGAAAAGAATGCTCTACTAATTTCTCATAGATTTCGTAGGTGCTTCTCGTCAAAAGAGAAAAAATGGAACTGTAGCTATACTAGTACTTTACCTGTTTTTCATCTAAAGATGAATATCATAATTCGAAATTCCCAAATTCCTATTCTCTTACTCAAAAAGACAATATTTAAACAAAAATGACCAGTACATATCTATTTAACTAATATGTCAGACACTGAATTACAAAGCATGAATATAGTCTAACATCTTCGTTTATGATCAATAAGTAAGTTAAGAAGCAGCAACATTTATTACGTTTAAATCTCAGTATTATGTAAAATAATGAACAAAATAATGTGAAAGCAAACTTTTAAACTGGCCTAAAACTTCTGAAGAATTATCGATATATTACTAAATTAAATACACGTCATTATAAATGGTATATACATAGATAGGAACTATTGGACTTAAAAGAGATGAAGCATTATATAATTTAAATACATTACTATTAAAGCACTGGCTAAAGAATTTAAACAAACTCTTTCTAAGTGTACCTTTTCAAATTAAGGCGGATACCAAATTTAGATACCAGATTAGTAAATAATTAAATAATTTAAGCTATTATTTTTAAAAATCAAGTAATTAAGATAGAAAAAACTGCATTAATTTAATGCCAACGTAATAAAATAAGAATTCAAATTATTTTTCGTCAAATATGACTTTTACATTTTGGAAAGAGAAAGAAGAAAGGAAACAGTTTTGCATACTAAGATTAATAACATCGAAATACTCCGGAATTAACTAGAAACAGTATTTATTTTTAGCACACAACAGTTGGTTTCAAACAGTTAACATTTTGTGTATGCAAATATTATTTACCCACTCCAAAAATATACTAAAACTGAAAAATATATATCCCGGTTTGGTCTGCAAAGACAAAATTTATAAGCGACATATTTGTTGGGTAGTTCGGTGATGTCTATTCGTATGTTCTCATCTATAGAAAGAATGTATCAAAGGATCAATTGATATTTGCGTACACAATGAATTTTTGAATAGTCAACTATTTCCTTTTATAAAAACATCTTTTCAATTATTAGTTTTACATTATTGAATGTTTTATTCATTTTATGTGTGGTGAATATAAACGGTGGAATAAATTTAAAGATATTAAACTAATTCGCAGATAAGGTTACTTGGCAGCATGCGGTAGATACATTTGCTAAGAACACTTGCATTCGCTTTGTGCCAAGAACGAATGAGAAAGATTACGTCAGAATTTTCCTCGGACAAGGGTAACGTAAACAGAATACATTACTGTAAAATGATGTATATATTTGTGTTTATTTGATTGTATTTTAGTTTTACATATTTTTGTAATGTTATGCACTCTTATTTGTTTATTTGTTGCATTTTATATAATAGTGTTATTGCATATTTTTGTTTAATATAATTTGTGGCTACTTGTTGTGTTTGTAAGTATTCATTTCTTGTGTTCTGTTGTAAATCTTATAATTCTGAGGCGATCTAAGTTCCAGTTATGAAAATAGCAGTTCACTTAAAACCTAAAATACGGGCAGAAACTCCCCAGACGCGCCTTGGAGACTTCGGCTATTTTTCGCAAAATCGGAACCATTTTGAAAGCCATAGTAAAACGCATTTTCGAAGCCCTAGGAACGAATTTTTAAGAAACTTCTGGAAATACTGGCAACACTAAAAATGTTTCGAAATTCAGTTTAGTTAGCTAAACACTAGTTCAGTTCAATGTCCCGCGGTTGTAATGATCTTGTTGATTACTATTTCAGACTTTGCTTCATGAGTGAATTTGATGATGTACGATATTCTTTGTGTGTTAAACACAATTTAATTTCTCTCTTTTGTGCTTCATTAGCTCTTCATTCATGTTAGCATGCTGTATAAGTTCTGATTTATTTCAAATAAAGTACTAACTTCTTCCGCTCATCTGCTATAATTTATGTTCGCATTTATATATTATAGGTTATATAAAGAGATTTTAAAACATCAATGTTTGGATACTTGAGCAGATTTTAATAATTTTTTTCAACAAAAATAAATACACTGCTGGCCACCCAAATTGCAACACCAAGAAAGACAAGAGATATCACAGCAAAATTTATTTAATAGATAACATGTTGACCAAGTATCAAACGATTAAAATTTATACACTTCTGTGAAGTGTGGTTCCTTTCAGAATCGGTAGCTAGAGTAGCCGCCATTGTTGGAGATCACCTCTGCCACACGCCTCAACATTGATTCAAAGAGACTTTGGATGTGTTCTTGGGGTGCAGCAGACCAAGCAGCTTCCACACGTTCCCAAAGTTGGTCTGGTGTGGCAGCTTGGGATGTAATCTGGGCCAATCGTTCAGCAAATATGGACCACATGTTTTTTATCGGTGAAAGATCCGGAGAGCGAGCCGGTCAGGGAAGCAATTCAATCTGGCGATTGACGAAGAACCCTTGGACAATGCGTGCCACGTGTGGTCGCGCAAAGTACCGGCAATGCGTACTAGAGGAGTGCGAGAGTGATATCCAATACTGCCCCATACCATAATATCCGGTGCAGGACCAGTGTGGCGGTGCATAATGCAGCAGTTCAGCATTCTCTCTCCACGGTGTCTCCAGACTCGAATACGATCATCCTGGTGTTGCAGACAGAAGCGTGACTTGTCAGTAAAGACAATTTCATTCCTTTCTGCCGTCCACATCCTTCTTTCATCCCACCATTGGCGGCGGAGACGTCTGTGGTTCTGCGTCAAGGTTAGACGAAGCAATGGACGTCTTGCGGACATACCACTCTGCTGTAAACGGCGTCGAATGGTACGGGAAGACTCTGGATGATGCGTTACAGACTGAATGTGCTGTGCTATGGTTCGTGATGTGACTGAGCGATTCGTCACTGCCATACGCACAGTGTTCCTGTTATCACGTGAAGTGGTGCACTGAGGTGGATGCGATCGAACACGTCGGTCCGTCGTACTATCCTGCATCCAACGGTCACATATCCGTATTACAGTTGCCTGGTTTCGTCCAACACGACTACCGATTTCCCTGAAACATAATACACACTCTCAGTAGGCCACTATCATTCCTCTGTCAAACTCGGATACTTGATCAAACGATGATCGCTGTTTACTACGAGACATAATAGATCTTTTTTTTGGGGGAAAAAAAAAAAAAAAAAAAAAAAAAAAAAAAAAAAAAAAAAAACTATTGCCGAACTTGAAATCGTCGAAAACTCCAAGCATTACATAGCGCTTTGAAGTGGCGCCACAGGCGCGTGTGATGTGCGTCTGCGCTGAAATTCTAATCATTTGCATATTTCACCTCCGCTAATGCATGTTGTAAATTTCATGTTATTTGCATGCTTCCTTCAGGGTGTTGCATTTACGGTGGCCAGCAGTGTAAATAGTTAAGCAAATAATGTCTTGCATCATTTGCTCATCTTATTAAGAGAGTTTTCAAGGAATTGCATGACTGTTTAAAAAACTCTACCCAATGTTTTAAAATAATTGCAATTTTGGTCAAGTGACATCTTTTAGCAAAAATATACGAAACGTGAATTATTTTGTAAGCCCTCTTACAGGTAAGTTCTAATTATTACATCGCTTCGCATCCTACTACACGTTTTTATTACCCTTATGTGCTTTTTAAAATACGATTTCTTTCTTCTGAAAAATTTGCCCTCGAAAAAATTGCTCCAATTTTCTGATTTAAACCATTTTTATCCGATAGAAGAGGAGGGACTGCGAAAGAATCAGTTTTAGGGGTGAGGTGAGTAAAAATTACACTTCGTTGGGTACCATTCTGACAGGTACCATTTCATGAAATAAATAAGCGTACTCCTTGTCGTTTATAATTTTTTTAATGCAAAATGTGTTTTTTTTTATAAACTTAAGTTATAAATTTAGGCTTTTGAATTACATGCGGGGAACAAAAGATTATTTTTGTACAGAGTTTATTTTTATACTGTTCTCAGTAAAATATTTTAAATAATCTCGACAATTTTGGATGCATATTTAAATAGTTTATTTCTGTCGGCACTAATATGATTACATGAAGAGCTTTACAGACTGAATATTTTTTTCCGCTTTACGTTTCGTGTAATTTTAATAATAGGAATTAAGTGACAGCTTTTCAATAATGATTTTAAAAGTTAATTTCTCATGTTAATAGTTTTGAAATACGCTTTATATTTTACTCAGAAGGAGCCACACTGTAGTCCGCGAAGAAAAGAAAAGGAAGTCTGTATTAACATTTTTGCATGGGGATGTCCTGATATTATTTTCCTTTGAATTTCGAAGATAGTCACGCGCTTTAGAGAATACTAACATCGAAGGGCAGAAAAAGAGAAATGTAATAAAAGCCCGATTAAAGCATGGAATTTATTTGATACTCATGAAAAAACATTATCTACAATTTAAAGCGATTTTATTGCTAATTATTTTGAACAAGTACATCTTATATAAATCACGAACAGAGGGCCTCCCATAATGGTTAACGACGCTGACTGCCGTAACGAAGAACCCGGGATCGAATCCAGGAGAAGGCATGGATGTTTGTAAATGTATAGTGTCTGCGGCATGGAGGTACTCTAAATATGCGGTGACCCTAAAGTCCTCTCGAAAGGTTGGTGGTAGGTATAACTATTAGTGACAATCAAAATGAGTGCCTATTATGCAGGGCTATAATACAAGGTATGACAATAAAGTTTGATGACTGATTTTATATACTGCGCCTGTGCGGTAGTGGCCGAAAGACGAACTTAAAAGATGCTTACATAGTGTGTTTGGACGCGTGTGGTTGCAGCATAGAAACAATTATAACTTTTGTTCGAAACATTCTAGCATGCAGAGACAGAGCAATGGCTGTAAAAGGAGCGGCAAGCTAATTTAAAGTTCTTTTTCAAGCTTAATAAATTTACGAATGAAAGCCATGGCGTATTAAAACAAGTTTACAGGAATAGCATCGTATTTTAAGTTTGTTTATGAATGTTTTAAACTGTAGAGACATTAGGATTTTTTGGAAACAGGCAAGATGAAAAATTAGCAGACGACTTCGGCGGGAATTGACCCACGGACCTCTGGAATACCGGCCCAGTGTGCAGAACCACTACACAATGAAGGCACGCTAGGAAGGCGGGAGAAATACCTTATATACTCCCCCTTTTAAAGGGTGACTGGGGTTTTGAGGGGGCCCAATCGCCAAATCTTGGGTGAGGAAAATTATCATCCAACACCCTTTTTAGTTCGGGCGCCACTATAGAAACATTAGGATTTCTTGGCAGCAGGCAAGATGAAAAATTAGCAAACGCCTTCGCCGGGAATTGAACCACGGAGCTCTGGAATACCCGCCCAGTGCGCAGAACAACTACACCATGAAGGCACGCTAGGAAGGCGGGAGAAATACCTTATAAAACGTGTTCCAGACGAAAACCATTCCATGGAAGACGATGCTTGAAGTGGTAAGTCTACGCCGTCCCGGATCTAGGGGCTGCCCGGATCTAGGGGCAAGTCGGGGTCTGTGTCTCGGGCGGCAAATTCAAGAGTGTCGCTGGATCATATTTGGAATGTTGTCAAATTTTGATACAGCATTAGTAGTTTTAAAGCCAGGTTTAAAACCTCCCTTAAGAGTACTTATAATTAATTACTCGGAAACATTTTAATGGGACAAACAGCTAAAAGTAAGCTAAATGCAGCCGAATACGACTCTAAATTTAAGATCAGAGAGAGGACAATAGAGGGAATCCAGGTGTCACTAACGAGGTCAGACGACCCTGTCCCTTTGCCAACCCAACATGTAATTTTATTACATGGTACTTCGTAAACGCCTTGGTCGTTGGTCCCTGTAACTGGAGCCTAGAGTCCCTCTGTTATCATCTCTCTTGGCGAGGATATTCAAATGAGAAATAGAACGATAGCATAGAGGGTCTTGCTTTCATACTGACGCCTCTTGCGAAATAAATGGAGAAGCATTGTAAATTGTAACTCTTTCCTAACACCCAATACAAATTAACCTTGGACCAATGAAATAATTCAGAGTAATGTACGTCGAGAATATACAACAGGAATGAAGTAAGGCATTTTGGATTTTTACAGCCAGTCGACAACAAAGGTTTTAAAAATGGATTTATTATTTTTATAGTTTTAAAGTTTGTAAATATTATGTTAATTTTATTAACAGTTAAATTTTGAGTTAAACTTCCTTTCCTATCGATTCTTACTTCAACTTACGACTTCCGGCCAGAACGTAGTTTTAGAATCCCGTTTGAATAATA